GAAGCCTTTTTATGCTGGAATACATGATTTTCAGCCTTCTTAAAGAATACATAACCTTGATAGCTCGAGTTTATTAACTTAAAAATTAGCATTAAAGATGTAGGTGTGTTCTTTTAAGATGTAAAGCTGTGAGATCCAATGCTGAAATGCTGTTGGATGTTTTGAGTTTTGTCTGCTTTTCTCTTTTTACCAGTAGCCATTTTTTGTTGCCGACAGTGGGCCTGCCTTAATAGCCTCACTTCCCAACCTAATTGGTTATATTTAATCTCATATAGTTTTGGAAACTAACTGCCCTTGATGAGTAAAATAGAATAAATGTAGTATTTGTGAGTGATATTTGACTGGTCATTTTGTGTGTCAAGGCCATGAGAGACTTTACGAATTGTCTACTCGTAGAACTTCATCCTTTCTGGTTTTGAACTAGTCTCTGAGTAAGTGATTTCTTATTTCATGGGAACTTATGTCTCATTGTAACACCTAGAATTCTGCTGAACTCCCTCGCTTGTTTTATTAGGTAATAGGTGATACAAGATACAGAATAATAGGGTCATCATTACCAAATTATATATGACTTAGGACTACTAAGTATAAATTGCTCTCCCCCACCTCCTGATAGTTTATGAGCAGGGCTAACATGTCTGTTGGGTGTCTGAGTCTGGCACCCTAGCCAGCAGCAAAGTATGGTTAGCTGATTGACTTGTGGAGGCAGTAAATTGGTGTAAGCTATTGGCCATTATAAAACAGGGGGAAAAGGTGGTGAGATTTTTTTGCTTCCATTATAATTTTGGCCCCTAGAAAGTTGTATTTTAAATATCTGTTATCAAGAACTTTGAAAAGTAGAATATCAAGACCTTTCCTTTTTATCTTTTCCTATTTTCTTAAATACCATTTCAAAGATTTTTTTCAAAGAAAAATGAGAATGTTTTGTTGATTTATCATTATTTGACGCGTAGTTAAGTAGATTCAGTGTTTCAAATATTGTTACTGTCATAGTTAAGTTTAGTAGATTCAACTACTATGCTATTTTTCCTCTTTGTAACTATAGATTTAAAAGCTGTCTGGATCTTAGTCACTTGAAGACTTAATTTTTGAAGTATATGAAATACTTTCCCCAATCCCTCGTCTGTCCTGTTTTCCTTTTGCCCACATATATCCTAAGGGAATCATAAGTGTAACAAGTATTTTCTCATGTGATGACCAGGAAAGAAAAAGCCCCTCAAGCTCTTTATTTGACTGTTCAGGAGGGGATAATCATCAGAATAATAGCCATATCTTGCCCCCCCCAAATAAAAAAGAAAACTCAATTTGTCTTTTGTTTGTTCACGTTGAATTTCATACCACATACACTTTTTTGGTACCTCTTCCTGGGACAGACTTGACTGCTTATAGCCCATTAATAGCAGCCCTGGAACAAAGCATGACCACCAGCAAGCAACATAAGGACCCATCAGTGCCAGCTCTACCTGTTTATGTGATGTTAGTTCAGCACATGGGAGCAGCTAACAGCTGCTCAGAGGAGGGAAGCAAATGGGCACCTGCCATGATGCGGCTGCTATTGACTGCTGATGTAGCATGTACAGATCTCTAAAAAGTGACCCAGGGATGGGGTCATGGAAATTCAAGCCAATATTTCCTTTCATATTGAAACTCAGATTTACAGGTTTTTAGGAGTCTTCATTGACAATCTATTAATCAAATATTTGGCTTTTTGAATTTTATTCTTTCACAACAGGGTTTTGAGGCCTGTAGTTTGATTCTTTGCTTTAACTTGGTTTTCTAGTTGGATTTATGTGTGTGTGTGTACATGTGTCCAAGTGCGTATATATGCAAACTTAGTTTTCATTTACATATAATTTCTACATATTGTGCAGTGGATATATATTGTCAAAGAAGATAGGTAAATGAGAGTAACAGGAAAGATAATGCAGTGTTAAGATTTTTATGGAACCATAAAAAGTCCAAGTTACCTATGTGTAGGTTCAAAAGTCTACTGATCTCTGCTGCGTTCACACTGTCCCTCCCACTGAATTCTGCTCTTTAGTTCAAGACGGTAAGTCTTAATCAGTAGTGAAATCTTTTGTAAAAAATTTACTTTGAAAATCTAAGTAAATGGTAACAGAAGTAAAAATTTAAGAAGTGCAATCTTTTCTTTATACTTTGATTGAATTAATTAGGAAACAGGTTTGGTTTCACTTTTCTCAAAAAGTTGCTTAATTATATTTTGCCAGGAGGATGAGAATCTGCCCACTGCCCCTGACCCTCCAAGTACGCATTTGCAGGGGCACGGAGCTGGCTTCTGCTTTGATTCCAGGTAACTTCCTTTTTCTGGTGTAGAAATATGGATTATGTAGAATGTGGTTCTCAGAGTTTGGGTTCTGGAAACTTGTTAGACATGCATGTGATCGGGGACCTGCCTCCTACCTTTTGAACCTGAAGCTCTTGGTGTGGGCCCAACAAAATGTGCTTTAACATGCCTTCGGGTGATTCTGATGCATGGACTCCTTTGAGAACCAGTGTTGGACACTCTTAGTTGTTAAACCAAATGAACACTGTTGGGAATTATAAGTTGTATTAATTTTTATAGGTTACAAGTGTCATTTTCTGTTAAAAATTCTTGTCACTAAGCCTCATTTCACAATGTAATTTTATTTTGGGGATTTTAATGAAAAAAGGTTTTTCTTTGTCAATCTAATTGTAAATTTAGAGGCTTTATAAATGGTTTACACAGTTGTCAGTAGCAAGCATTTAGAAGCAGGAAAAAGTTTCTGCAGTAACTGAGGACTTTTCAAGGTAAGTTGCTTAGTATGAATATCAGCTTAACTAGATAAATATAGCCTTGTCATCTTTTGAAGAATACTGTTATTAGATATTTGTTAGAAATATGTAATTCTTTCATTTTCCTATTTCTTCAAGCTTTGATGTTCACAAGAAGTGTCCCCTCTGTGAATTAATGTTCCCTCCCAACTATGACCAGAGCAAATTTGAAGAGCATGTTGAAAGCCACTGGAAGGTGTGCCCAATGTGCGGCGAGCAGTTCCCTCCCGACTATGACCAGCAAGGCTTTGAGAGGCATGTGCACACCCATTTTGATCAGAATGTTTTAAATTTTGACTAGTTACTTTTTATTATGAGTTAATAGTTTAGCAGTTTAAAAAAATCATCTCAAATAGACCACTAGGAGCCCACAAGTTATCACTTCCATGCACCCTCTTCTGTACTCTTCTGACCAAGATCTACTTTAGTGTTACTAGGGTTAGGGTCAGATTTTGGCTTATCAATAAATATAATTTTAGCCTCCTTTAATCTTACCTGCTTAAGAAAATAAGTTCTTGGGTGTTTGTATTTTCATTGATTCCCAAGTGTGCAAAATTACATGACTAAAGGAAACAGGATTATTTTAATGTTACTGCACTGAAAAATATGTATTTATAGTTATTTGGCAGAATATTTACAAGTTTCTGTTGATCTTGTTGATTGAGCATGACTACTAAATATTATGTAATAAAAAGCATTTATCATAAGTCTTGCGAAGTAATTCTTTAAATGCAGAAATTTGCATAATTTAGTCCATGAAATGATGGTTTGTTAATACTCTTTAGAAATGGAGCTGTATGTAGAATGAGATCACATGCTTGCAGTATAGCACATATTCTTTTTATATTTGAAATGTTTGCTTTAGGAATTAATGGAAGACATATTTTGCTAATTTTTCAACTAAATTTTTTTTTAGAATAGCCTGAACAGTTATATTTAAGCCACCTTAAAGTTATATTTCTAGCCAATGGGAAAATGGAAAAAGGTATGTCAGAACAATTGTTTCATATTATATGATCTACTAAATAGTGGTGTTTGTGGCATAAAATCACAGAAAATGTAACCTTTTTCACATTTTCCTAATGAGAGTATAACTTTGAATAACATTCTAAGTGATTAAAAATGTCGTATGTAAACAAGCTGTGTCTCTGTTGTGTATAGTATTCTCATTAACATTAAAGAGGACACATTTTTGGAGGTGATTTTATTGTCAAATTTATTTGTGATCGTTTTTCATTAAGTCTAGCATCTTGAACATCTCTTTTGTCTGGTCTTTAAAAAAGTTTCCGAACTGTATTCCTTTCTCTTCTATACTATGAATGTCAAGATTTTAAAGTACTGGCTTTTTTATTCTGCTGCTGAAAATACTCAAGCTTGTCCAAAGATGTTAAGCTAATACTCAGCGTGGTGGCAATTGGGGTGCTGTATATGAAATGCATTACACATCATGTTGCTGGTATTTGTTTCTAGGACCAGAATTTGTCTACTGTTGGAATCCTTTAAAAAGGTTTTTGAGTCTAGGGAAGACAATATTAGTCAGATGCCAGATGTTTTGGACATAGCAGACCTGGGGGCAGTAGTATTGAAGACTCCATGTTTTAGTTTTCTGATTGGTCACATGATACGCAGAATATTTCAGAGAAAATGTTTAGTGGTAGTAATTATGGGCCATGATGACCTTTGAATGCCCCTGCGCTGCCACCAGTGAAGCGAGATACTCTTCTTACTGGCCTAGAACTTGAGTCACTTTTCACCTCAAGCTGGAAAACAGCAAAATAGGTTCAATCCCACTGTGGTCTGAGAACATGGTTTGTAGGAGTTGTGTTTTGTGACTTACAATGGTCTTTCTTCTTGGTGCGTGTTCTGAGTGAGCTTCAACGTCATGTATTGTGTTGTTTGAAGGTTATAGATGAGTTCAAATAACTCCTTACGGATTCTCTAACTGCTGGATCTGTGCATTGCTGATAGGGGGGTGTTGACATCTCCAAGTAAAACAGTTCTATCATTTTTTGCCTCCTATATTTTGATGTTCTGCTGTTAGGCAAATATGTATTAAGCAAAAAATTAAATACATTCTACATGTGTCAGCCTAAGGTGGAACAAGGTACTGAGTGGATAGATTAGTTTCCATGGTAAACCTCATACTGGCTTTTCATAATGGATGCTAATGAAAGTAAAGAGCCATGTTTATTTTGGGTCAGAGACAGTTTATTTAAAATGTGATTTCATTTACATTTATAAGCAGCTTTACTTGACAGGATTTTGATTCATTAAGTTGCCTTCAGTTCTAAAATCTCTGTCGCTTTCAAACTTAATGTGCTCTGTCCCCAACAAAACATATGAAAATATAATTTAAAGCACAGTTTTCACAGACACAATACATTCACTATACACGGTATAACAAAATATTCCCGTCCTTACCTGTTTAGTAATACTGACACAATGGATAAGCAAGGAGAAACTGGGATTTGTTTTCTAGTTGAAAGAAATGTTAACATGCACAATGACTGTTTAGCTGTTGAACTACTGATCCAGCCTGCAGTTTCTTGCACTAGAAGGAGCGAAGCTAAATAACTGATGGCCTAAAAAATTTGGTCAATTATAGGTAGATATGAAGTAGCCAAGTAGGGGCTTCTTATGCACCAACTAATGGCTTTTGCTGTCTGGATCACACTTTTGAACATACAGGATAGCACTGTATATTCAGGACCAAGACCACTCTTCAGAGAGCTGAGGAAATTTTTAAAGGGCAGTGTCTTTACCAATATTGAAAAATCCCTCATTATGAGGGATTCACAGCCTAAGAATATTAAGCTTACTCATCTGGCTAACAGAATTGTGTCATCTTTCCAAAATGTCTGAAAAATTGAGGAGGGACACCTGCTTCCCAGCTATAAGACTTTCATCAAATGGGAACATGGGAAGAAAGTTATTTTATAAGCAGTGTGAGTTTGCTTTTCACCAGTTTTGTGAACAGTTGGCCACCTCAAAGCAATTTTTATTGCATAATTAGGCAACTGGTAAACTCATGTTTAAGGAATAGCACTTGGGAGAAAAGAACACTCAAGGCATGATGGTATTGTTGGTGAGAAAACTTCAGGAATGCTCCAGATGTAGGTTACTGTAATGGGTCCTATATTAGTCATTCTTTGACCACCTGCTGCAAGAAAGCACTTAATTGTCAATAAGGCTCAATTTCATTTCGGCAAATTGTTTTATAAAGCTAAACAGACATTTCCAATGTGATAGGAAAAGTGCCTTTAAAAAAATGTCTAAAAACACAATGAAGAGGCAGTAGGGGTCTTAACAGAAATGTTCTTCTTTGAACCGTGCTTGGAATTTTAATTCTTATTTGTAACCCACAGGTTTGTTAGGGCAGTGGTTGTAAGAATTGGCAACACATAAAACATTAAATCTGTTGGCAATAGAGAACTACAAAGTGCTTTAAAACTTCACCTAAAGATGAAGATAGAACTAAATTTCACACAAAATTTGCACGTAAGTATTTCAAAGTGTTTCCTAACAGATTTCAGGGAAACGTATTTCACTAAACTGGTATCTTGGTCTGCAGATATCAATAGGCATAAATTGAATCCGTTGCACCCAGCGGGCACTCAATGAATGTGTTAATGAGTGAACTGAACAGACTTATACAAAAATGCCATTTATAACACTAAAATAACTGGTAAGTCAGATGGCAAGATTTTCAGCTTTTTAAAGGGCAAAAGGACTTGCAAGATAATATAAAACACAGAAAAGCACACCTTTATGTATGTTATTTAAATATGAAAATATTTTTAGCATATTATGTTAAACATTCTTTCTTAATTTATATTTCCATTACCTAAAGTCTTTCTACTCACAAATACTAACTCCATTATGTAAGGCATGATAACCAGTTTGATAATGAAGGTATTGTTTTGGTTTTGAACATAGTGAGTTGATGTGTTGAAAAAAACCTCAATCACATTACAAATATTGGGGGAAAAAAGCAAACCTCAGTGCCAGTCCCTCCTCCCCCCAACTGATATTACTGTGATACGACTGAATAATATGCAACATGCCCTCAACCATATTTTGTTTTGGGGGAAATGTGCTGAGAACCTAGAGCTTTTTTTAGCACCTTATATCAAAGTAATGAAAATGGGTATGATGATTACATGTGCAAATGTACAAAATCATTAACTCTACAAAGATACATCATTCCAAAATTACAGAAAAAATTTAAAGCATGCATTTAATTCTTTAAAGGGTTGCTGAATGCTTCCCCTGAAAAAAGGTGGCTGTTTTCAAAATCAGCAACTGCTGGTGAGGATTTCTTGGCACAGTTATGACCAGCATGTTATTGCTGCATCTTCCTGATAATCTCAGCCGACACCGGGGGATGGAAATTGATTGTGTGGTGCCGCAGGCCCTGAGCTGTCTTGTAACTCTTACCACAACGACATTTGAAAGGTTTGCGGACACGAATCTGTGTTCTGTGACCATTCTTAGCATGGTACTTTATGCCATTCACATTCTGTGGAGAAGAGAGAAATATCACCTATTAGATGGAGTCCTATAATGTCTGTCCGAGTGGGGAAACGTCAGTGTGCTTCTGGATGGCAGCTGTGCACACCGGGTCAGGCACACAGCTAACTCAAGGTAATTCCAGACATGCCTCACTCTGAAAATGAAAGTACTGACTTCACATTTTATGTGAAGTAATGTATTTATGACTCAGACTGTATAGAAGCACAGTTCCCTCAACTTTCTTCAGAGTGGAAAGAAGATGCAAACAGTGGGCAGTTACCTAAAAATACCCTCAGGCTGGCCAAGAAGAAAACAGGCCAGGGCACTAGACTTACAGATGTGTGTAAACTGACAGCTGTGATGGGCTTCCTACCTTACTGGAATTCTCGTCCATGTTCTACTCTTCATGAGCATGAGGTCTGTGTGTCTGCCATGGTGGGAGCTTTCTGCCCATTCCCATAGTAAGTACCGCTGAGGGGACTCATATATCCTGCATTCTGACCTACAGTGAACTTGAAAACCTTCAGATTATGGAGGTCTCAGCACAGAAGAGCTCCAGACTTCAAACTGGCCTGCAGACCTTACTTGGAGCACACAACGTCTAAATGCCCTCTGGGTTTCTGCTAATTGGCTTTGCTAGTTTATTTGCATGTTCTCTGGAACACTCCATGCCTAGAATCACTCTGTAGACCAAACAAATTAACAGTTACTACTGCTCATCCCAGTAGATGGTGTGGAAATGGGCTCTGGGCACTGAATACCTGGTGGAAGATTTAAGAGAGAATAAAGGGCAGAGGTGATAGAGCATAGTCTTAGAAAATGCCCAAGTCGGCTGTTGCCAGATTAGGGATTAAGGGGAAGAGGGCTTGAGACGTGAAGTTGGTAAGCACAGACCACCAGAGGAATGGGCTGTTTCCAAAAGTATTACCTGAATCTAGTCCCACTAAGCCCAGTGACATGCCCAACTAAAGCATTCCAGCACAGTCCTCTTTCTTCACAAGCGGCCCTTGGTGAGCGCCAGAGCTGCTGTTTCATGAGCATCTAGCACAGTCTGGTATTTGAGTGAATGAATTTGTTGGAACGTGCATCTCTATACAGGGAGAAATTGAGAGTTGCCATTAAACTGGTGTTTACTAACATTTCCCCCTTAGAGGTTCATGGTGGTCGTTAATACCTTCTAAAAGTTCTATGGTAGAGAATCCTGCTTGACTTGGTTGAGCCTAGGGGTGCCAAGTAGTGGCCAGGTGGTGGTGCTCGGAGTCTGAAGGTTTTCCAGTGAGTCGAATCACAGTGACCGTCTGCCCTGAACACCTACCTGCGGCCTTCTGCACCTTCAGCCTTGACCTTCCTGCATCAATCCCTGCGTGCAGGGCAAGGAAGCACCTCACTAGTCTTCCAGAGGGAATGAGAGCTCGCTGCAGTGGGATACGCACAGGGCAGTGGCAGAATCAAACCCATTAAAATAGTTAAGATGGTTGATATGCCCTGCCATCCATCCCACCAGACACCCAGGCACATAAGGAAGCCAGCTTGTATCTCTAACCCCACCGGGCATCTTGCTGATCCACGAGACCCAGGCGACCCAGAACCATGGAAGGTAATGGGTTTAAGCTACTTAAAAAGAGAAAGTTGTTAATATAGTTTTATGACCATTAGAGAAAGACTCAACTTTCCAAGTAATAGTAACATGTTAGGAAGTCTCTGGGCTCACAAATGCCAGACATTTGCCTGTTTATATACATCTACTAGCTCAAAATACTCAATGAGCACTTAGTAGGGTCCCTTTCTATGGATGAAGGATTACTAAACATCTCATGCCCTTGTTCTCACAGGGAGCTTGTTGCAAGATGGATCTTTAAAAGTCCAACTACCTCTGTGCCCCAGCAGTACCACTTGCACCTTGTCAGAGAACAAAGGAAACCAATAATAAACATTGGGCCGGTAAGCAAAAAGGCACAGCAGCTCCCAGGAGGACCAGGGCTTAGACCCACTCCATCCAGGCCTGAGTTTTTACAACTAATTGGGGGAGGGAAGATATGAAATCAAATTAAGAAAGGCACACGTAACCAGTCCAACAAAGCCAGAGCCAGAGCTCACCAGAAGGACAGGCGCAGCTTCCTGCAGATCTGTGTTCTGTCCCCACCTGGAATATACACATGGTGGTGTGTGTGTGGGGGACTGTGAGACTGAGGGGAAAACAGCCAATTCCATACATCAGCCTTACTGATCTGGAAAAGTTGGGGAACACATGGCCAAAGAACCTAATGACAGACCCCTACCTGACCACCTGTTTCTGTCACTGATTATAATTTTCACAAGTGTCAATGTACACCTTTATCACAAACATTAGTAAAGGCTCTAATCATACTCTAGGTTTCCCATTCTTTTCATCTATAGCAGTGGGAACTGCCACTTTCTAAGACTTTAGGAGCTTAAAAAGATTCATTTAAGTTTCTAATTGTAGAGACCTTAAGATGAGTTTAGTCTTTAAAAACTAATGAATGATGGCAGGCAACTTGAAGAAGAAATGCTTAAATCCTGTGATCTCTGGAAGGGAAAGGAGGGAATTCAGCTTCAGTAGGAAAGTCTCCTGCCCAGTGCTTCCTGTCTGTTTTCTAACCTACTCCTTTTAGACGAAACTGACACTCAGAGAAGGTAACTCACTAGAATCAGGAAGCTGCTGAATGACAGCTGCAATGGGAACCCCGGGAAGCCTGATTACAGAGTCTGCGCTTGCCCCGATTTCACCTGAATCAGGCGTTAGGTACTCATTCCTTAGTGCAGCCAGCCGGTAGCCTGAAAAATCTTGGGAGCTGGGAAGGATTGGGACACTCGGACTGGCCAGAGCTGCCCATGGAGTACAGTGGCCAGAGGGCATCGAGCAGGGCCGGGTGGTGGGCTGGGAAAGGCTGGCACTGGCTCATTTCCATGCCAGGAATGACCTGCGTGGGTGAGAGAAATGGGCCAGTCAGTGGCCTTTTCCAAAATTCCACTCCACGAAACCTGAAGCCTGGACACAAGCTTGGCCGTCGTGCCATTGACTGAATTTGATCTTTTGTCGTCGGAATTCAGGCCTGGATAAGTACAGTACGCGACGTGCCCTGGATGAAACATGTCACTGTCAATTTCCTGCAGGCCCTGATCTACATTAAGGAGGGAATGAGGTTGCTTGGGGATTCGATGAGGAAGACAAGTGAAGCTGAAGCAGAAGCTGGGGGTCGTGGTGGTGGTAATATGACAGGTCAGAGCGGAGCCGTCCCACCAGCCCCAGAGAGCTGAAACACAAGTCCCTCCCCGTTGGACTTGACACGGCAGCACGTGGAATGTCCAGGGAAAGTCAGGCAGAATCTGGTTTCTTCCCTGATTATTAAAGTAACCTGTGTGCTGTGCAGGTAATTGTAGAAATTTGGAAAACTGAAGGGCATTAAAAAAAACATTGAATCACTGTTCAACATCTGAGGTATTTCAGTAATTTTCCTATGAGATCTATCCTATGAGATTGCATTCCCTCATTACGTGTTTTCTGAAAATAGGATTGATGGCAGAATTCTCTCCTGTTCCCCTATCAGAAATTTAGCATTTCCAAAATTTGCGCTGGCTTCATATAATGTACATCGATCTTTACATCCCTGGTGATGTGCTTGAGGAGAAATTGGTGGTAGACCCATGGAACCGAGGGAATGAACACTTCAAGTTCTGATTATTTACTGCTAAGGTGCTACCCAGAAAGGCTGTCAGTTATCCTCCAGCCGATGCTCCTGATGGGGCCCTTCTTAGAGGCAAGGACGTTAGACCCACGGAGGGGGGAGAGGCTGCAGTGTCCTTGGGAAAACCCCGAGCCACACCCCTGCTTGGCTGCGCGTCTAGCTAGCCGAGGCCAGGTTTCCTTTATGCTGCTGGACGGACAGTGTTCTCCGTGCAGCAAGGACTCTGATTTCAGAGAAACTTTGTAGGGGGAGGGCTTGGTCTGTTTTCTATTTCTTAAAAGTAGCAAAGTGTTGTTAACCCTAATCTCTAATATAAAAATTATCAAAGGAAAAAACCTCAAAGCACTTCATCCCATCCTTGGAACCCATTCCTAGGTCTGAGGGTGGGCAGTGGTCCGTCTGATGCCTGAAGTCAGAGGAAACGTAGAGCGGCCCCAGGGCAGGTGGGATCCACTGTTCCTGCCTGGAATGTGTGGCAGGAATGAGAAGAATGGAACCATGCTGCTGGCGGGGAGCTCCCTTGCCCCCTGCCCTCACCCCTTTATCCTCAGAGTGTTTACTACGCCCAACACCTGAGCTGGTGCCAAGGAGGGTGTGTGGGCCTGGGAAAGGTCAGAGGACAGAGCTTTAGTCTATGAGTGGGGAGTCGGTCAGAAACTGGTGAGGGCTTCTCAGAGGAGGTGGCATTTGTGCTGCACCTTGAAAAACGGGGAGGGAGGCATCCTAGGGTAAGGAATTAACATCAGAAACAAGGCAGAGGGCGCCGTCCTGCTAGTCCGTCTCTTGCCCTACTCAGTGTGAAGCCCGGGAAGTTCGGTGCCTCGCCACCTTTCAGTTGTGCAAATACCAACGAAATGGTGAGCAGAGCTCGTACTGCGCCGGTGCCCGAGAGACTGTCAGCGACTGACCACGGGGCAGGGGGCAGACAGGTGTGATGTCGGCCCGGAACAAACAAGCGGCAGCACCCTCCACGGCACACGAGCGCGTTGAACCACTGCCCCCAGCACCCAGTCCGCACCCACACAGTAGATAAGCCGAGACGGTCCCACCAGCGAGCACTGGCCCTGTGGCCTGTACCTTCCCCACAGAGGGCCAAACCGAACATATAGGGGATGTGATCGCGCTCCTCTCAAGCACTTGGTTGGAGGTCGTTACGTTTGTTCCTGCCCCCTCTATCATTACTTGACGTTCTGGCCAGAAAAGGAAACACCCTCGTGGAAATCATGACCGCTAACTGCCACCACCCGTGTCACCTGTCAGTGACGCTGAAGCAGCCCGGGGTCACTCAGTTTTCCCGGCCTTAAGAAGAGAAAGAGCACCCAAAACCCTCTGTTGACCCCCTTGTGGATAATTACTGGAGGAAACTGCTGGAAACCCAAGGAAAATAAAAGCAGAGGAGCGATGACAAATAGAAATGACCAGGGGACGGATGTAGTAAAGCAGGGAGGCGGGAAGGAGGCCGCTGTGCCCTCTTGGGCCGAATAAAGGGCGCGACGCCTGTGGTTCCCGTAGCCTGTCTAGGTCGCTGCTGACACGCAAGACAGCCCTAAGTAGAGTTTGGATGCTCGAGAGAGGACAGCCAGGTGGCGGAGCGTGAGAGCCAACCCCATGAAGCACGGCGAGAAGCGGCCTCGGGACAGCAGGCCGACAGGGTCACAGCATTGCCCCCCAAACTCTCCACTTGGAGGTGGAAAACGGGACAACGCACAACACACAACACCTGTCTGCAGGTTCTGGCCGCCTGTCCTCTCCCACCTCTGGCCTTCTGAGGCCTGCTCAGGCCCGAGCAGGACGCCCTATGGGACTCCTCCCCATCCAGGGTTTTCACTTTAAACACAGCACATCTGAACTTGCCATGGTGAGGTTTCAACAGTTCAGAGTAGGGGGGGCGTCGGGCCACTTACCTTGTGATGCATTTGTGTTTCATGCTTTTATATCAGTAGCTGGTATAAAAAGTACTGAAACAGGTTATTTTTTAGTGTTCAGAGATGCCTATTTAAGAAAGAGCAATGTAAGACGTGCTTATACTATCACATTTTTCAAGCCTTCTAAGAGTCAGTCGGCTGAGCTCTGGGAAATGAGCATATCATCAAACACGCCTGGTGTGTTTCTGATTTTTATATTTCTAGCTCACAGTTGGTTTTCAAAGAACTGCGAACATCTAATGGGAGAGTTTGCATTTAAAAAAAAAAAGTGCCCTCAACCCGCACTAGCTTGTGGGCGTTTCTCTTTTGTCCCACTGAGGTTTTTAAATAAAAGATTTAGTGTCTGCGGCCTCCTGTGACGCCAGAGTCAGGCCCTCAGAGCCCAGTTCTGTGCTGTCTACGGAGAAGAGAGAATGCTGGGGCTGAGGGGGTGGTTTGGTGAGAAAAAATATCAAAGCCCCGTTTTTCTCCTGAGCTCCTTTCATGCCGATGGGGGGAAGGGAGCAAGAACTTTCTCAGCTGGAAGCTAAATACCTGACAACGTTTCCCAAAAGGGCTCTGTGAGCCAGGCCTAGAAGACTTCAAAGTGGCCTGTGAGCCACCTGGACAGCCAACTGCTGGGGAAGGCGTTTGGCAAATAAATAGGTGACACATTTTGAATTCTGACTGATAGGACATGAATCTGAAGAATATCAAAGGTACAGTCCTCTTGACCTACAGCTCCACATACCGGGGGCGTGGAAAGCCCACCAAATGCCTTGCAGGCAGGCCTGCGCCCCAGTGGGCACCAGGCACCCAGCCTGCACGGCAGAGGGGCGCGCTCTGGGCTGTCCGCGCTCTGCAGCAGGAAGGGGCTGCTGTCTGGCTTGGGCCTTGCCCTCCTGTGCGGCCACACCAAGTGTGGCGGGACTTTTACCTTGTATCTCTTTTTACATCCAGGAACTGGGCAGGCAAAAGGCTTCTCTTCCCCTCCGTTCATGCACATGGAGCTGAGGATGGCTTCGGAGCTGATGGCGCTCTCCGTGGTCCAGGACTCGTCGCTGTCCGACTCCTCGTAGTCCACCTCCTCCTCATCGTATTCGCTGCCTGCAGGGGCACAGAGAGCAAGGGGTGTCAGGGGCAGTCACCTCCCGCAGGTGTGCTCCGGCCACCCAGAGGACAGGAGGAGCCGGTGGCGGGCCCGGTGGCGGGATGGGCGGCGGCTCTTGCCAGGGAGAGGGCATTCCGGGCACAAAGGGCCTGCAAACATGTCTGGTCCCTCGGGCAGGCCTGGTGGGAAGATACCTGCAGTCCCACCTGAGAGACCAGGTTGAGTACTTCGCAACAGTTCACGTCCAGGAACTGGCTGAGCAAGAGCTTCACCTCAGGTCTGGCAGGTCAGGCTGTGATTGCAAAGGTGCTGGGAAGCTTTGAGGCCAAAACCAAAAATGACCAATGACAACAAACACCTCCCGCCCCAACACACACACACACACGCGTGCGCACCTGACATTCCAAAGGATAGAATTCTGCCCCTTGGTTTTCTGCTTTGTTGGCCTAGTGAATGCAAGAATCTGTGGGAGGGGTTACATTTTACACTTTTTAGGTTTTACCCTTTAGTGGGAATGAATTTCAGGTCTTTTTGTTTATAGGCTGAGCTGGGAAGATCATGAGGAAATTTAAAATTAAAGGAGGTTACCCCAAGCAAGGAGACCGGGACAGAAATGCCCAGAGCTCTGAGGGCAGATTGTCAGGGTCAGAATGCAGGTCCAGCTCAGGGAAGACCACACCTGTCCCCAAGGAACTCACCAACAATCCCTGGGAGGCAGGGATGCTGACCCACCCCAGTCAGATGGCTCAGACAGGAGCAGGGGATTCTCTGTATTCCCCGAGGTTAACAGCTCTGCTCGTAGTTGAAGTTAAAATCTACTTCACTGACTTCTGCCCCGGACTGCGGGGATGGAAAACCACTTGCACCAGCAGCCCTCTTTTGCTCTTTTTAAATGAGGCCCAAAGCCATTTATTTGGAGCTTTTGCACAATACAACCCTGAAGGACATAATTCTCCAGATCATAAACAGTGTAAAATAATATGTTGACAAGTCCTAATGCATTTACAAGCCCGGTGGAATAAATAGGAATTATAGCACAACATTAATAAGACTTATATGGTAGCAATTACAGTTGTGAAATCCATCCCCCAGGTGTGAGGCTAAATTGCACCAGGGCCCTGCCTGGGTGCTCCGTGGGCTCGCTCTGCTACATCAATTATTTCAACACCAAATATTGGCACTTTTATTGGGTTTCATTTTAATAGGCATTAATAGGATTGTTTGAAGAGCCCGTTGAGCCAGGAACTAGGACGCCAGCCTCTGAGGCTCACACTTAAAAGGAGCCAGGGAGGCAGGAGGGGACCTCGAGTTGACTGAGCGCCTCTTACGTTTCACACACATCAGACGCCTTATCTCATTTAATCCTTCAGTGACCCTGTGAGGAGGGGATGGCTGTCACTTTCGTACACGTGAGGAAACTGAGCCCCGGGAGGCTGAAGAGCTTATGCATTCTCAATTAGCCATTAAGGGCGGTCACTTTTTCCCATGCCGCTTCCTGGCCGGCACCAGCAGCTCTCCAAGGGGGTCCCTCCCAACCTCCTGGAGTAGCTGGTGCTTTACCACCTACCACTCAGACCGAGTTCAAAGCTGCCTGTTTTGAAACTCAGGTGGGGCAGGAAAAACAATTTGGCAGAAGCGAGGCTCTGGAGTTAAATGTGGGGTTCGGTGAGCCCTGCTGTACCTGGTGGTGGACCCCAGAAATGACATCACTTTGCAAACAGGAGACAACAGGTCGACGCCACACCTCTGAGTCTGAGCAAATTTCGGAATCTGCTTTCAAGTAGGACATTGTTTAGGACATTTTGCTCTTAAACAAATGCCACATGCTGGTGTCCTTCAAGTTGCTCGTTAGAGAGCCCTACGTGCTGTTTCCCAAAGCTCCTCCAGCAGGACTTCCGAAGGTCACAATGACTAATTTATCCATCTCATTGGGCCAATTTGTTACCCTGAACACAAACATTTACAACGAGGGTGGAGGGGAGGGGGAGGGCTCAGACCGAGGGAGGGCTTAATGAAGCCCAGCAGAGAAAAAACTTCAAAACTCCGCCGGATGAAAGGGGCCAGACCCTGAGGGCTGATGCTGTGGACACAGTCGCCTGCAAACCGCGTGGCATCCACAAACGGCCATTGCTGCGTAATTTTGTAAGTGATGCTAAGTATTTCCTCTGTGTACAAGAGGAAATACAACCCCAGCACCCTGTCTGTTGATGTGAATCACTGTTTCTCCCCCTCCCTTCCACTCTCTCTAAAAAAATCAATGGCAAAAAAATAAAAAAGAAATGTAATTTCACTGTGCACTGTCACATGTGAAAACTGGCTGCCACTAACCTCCTGGGGTTGAATTTCTATCTTCATACTCCACGGCTGCACGGTCCCCACCGTGGGGGCCTGAGCCGGCCAGGACAGCGGCTGAGAGAGGCGCCTTTGGTGGCCCCAGAGCTCATTTCAGCATTTCGGTTTGGAAAATGAGCAAAGCCTAGTAGCTAGGATTTCATGATAAGACAAATACATTCCCACAGGGCTGCTGAAAAATTCCTACTGGTTAACAAAAGTAAAACCCTGAGCTGGTTTCACGAATCACAGGCAAAGGCCTGGAGCATCTGTGCACAGACACACGTGTTCACCCGCCTGGACCGAGCGCCCAGGAGCCTACTGAGCGCTTCTGCAGAGCTCGCTCTTGTCACAAGAGCCATTTCAAATCTGTCCCCTCCCCTCAAACCTCTGCCCACCTTGCCCTTTGCTCACCCCCTTAACTCTACGTATTTGGCCGCAATCCATTTTAACGCCTACAGTGTTCTCACTGTTTGCATTTGTAAACAGTGACATACAGATAGATAAAAATAAGCCAGCCTTTTCCCGAAACCCAACACGCCACATTTTTCTTACCACAGATCATTAATATTCATGAAAAAGTGATAACTGCAGTGGCAGCAAATTAAAACTCTCCCGGGGTGTCAAATTCTGGCAAATACATTAGCAGAGAGTCGCCTCTCTGCCTTACGGACCGATCACTATAAATTAGCTGTAACAGGTACTGACCCGCTTTATGGAGCCGAAGCAACAATCGTCTAAATGAATCGGCAGTGGGCGACTATGACGAAAGGCACACGAACAGCTCCGGGGCCATGAGCCAAGTCGTGACAGTTCCCGGCCACCACGCTCCTGACCGGTCACGAGCTCTTCCGAGGCGGAGCACGAGTTCCGACCTGGCAGCCGGCTCCGGAGCCTGTGTCCCTACCCAGCGCATCGCACTGCTGGCTCGAATTCATCCCCAGCGCCCCGGGGATGACCCCCCTCATCACGTTTACACCCACCGGTATTTGGCAGTGTCGTCCCCCGTTTCCCTGAGACATGCTCTCCTGCTGCCGTCCACCCTCTGGCTTCAGTCTGACCTCCCTCCCTCCCTCCCTCCCTCCCAGGCCTGCTACACAGCTGTCACCCTGGGGTGTCCCTTCACCCCACCCGGGGTTCCCTTTGCCTCTCCCCATGGGGGATGACCCCTTTTTCATAGATATTCCATGCCATCTTCTTTCTTCATTTACCTCTTGCTTGGCTCATGGGAGGTAAGATTTTGAGTCCCTGAATGTGTGAAAACGTCTTTACCCTTGCACTTGACCGGAGCTTCCTAGGTTAATGGCCGCTTCCCCCAGGATTGTGATGCCTCTGCCCGTGTTTTCTAGCTTCTCGGGTGCCGTGGGGGAGCCCCACGCCACACTGACTCCCGACTCTCAAACCCGCCCTCCCTCCTCGGGAGACCTGGGGCCTTGGCTTTTCTCTTTGTCCCCCATGTTCAGAGGTGTCTGTCGCTCTGATTCTTCATTAAAAATATGTAACGGTTTTATTGAGATACAGTTCACTATACAACGCACCCATCCCAAGTGTACAAGTCAGTGGTTCTTACTATATTCACAGAGTAGTGCCCCCGTCACCACCATCGCAGAATATTGTCATCACCCCAAAGGGAAACCACGCGCCCACGACGTGGCCCCAATTCTTGAGGCCTTCTGGGCTCTCTGGAGGCAACGTGCTTGCTTCTGAGCTCACGCCTGTGGGCCCAGGTTCCAGCTTTTTCTAGCCTGAGTCAGCTCCCTCTCGGCCATCTGCTTCCCAGCT